AGAAAAAGAGTAGATAGAGGTGAGGATGATACAGCTCAAGCAAGAAGGACCGTAGAATCATAAGTCATCTAACAAAGCACCCAGCTTCAAGAAAGATAAAACCCTAAAGCACCAATGCAATGGGACACCAGTTCAAATCTTAAGATGCCCCTCTACCTTCAAAATGATGGGCCATCGTTTACTGCCAACAAACTCTCTCATGCTTTAGTTTTAAGTCTACAACTTAGTCCTACCCTTGGCAAGATAAAAAATAAATGGGAATAATCAACTATTTACTATTTACAAAAAGGGCTTCCGTACACACACACACACACACTGAGGTACACACATATATAAATTATCAAAATAACATTTTTCATTCAGTCAACAAATTATGCATATATTGTACACAGTATATGCCAGACACTCCAAGTTTCTCCTGTAGTTATTAGAACCCACATTTTACACATGAAGAGGCAAAACATTAGTGAAGTAAATAAATGGTTATCCCAAGAGGTCAGAGAACCAGTCGGAGCAATGGCACAATCAGGACTCTGACTTGGGTCTTTGACTAAGCACAGTATTCTTTTCAGCCCCTCAGAGCCTTTACATAATAGGAAGGCAAAGAGAAAGAAGAATAAAGGAGAGGCTTGTTAAAAGAGCTGGTGGGACAGACAAAATATTTAGATAAAGAGAAATCAGAAGCATAAGTTTCTAGCCTCTAAATTTCAATTGACTCAAATAAGTTAGTACAGAGCTAGGAATTTTTAATTTAGCAGTTTCAATCCCAATTATACCAATAATTATTGTAATTTAAGCAAGTAAGTTCATCTCTCTGGACCTCAGCTTCCTCAAATGCCAAGTGAAGGGTCTGGTCAAAACTACCTGAAAGGTCCCTTTACTTCAAAAATTATGTTTTCATAATACTTGCAAGAGAGGAAAACAGTTATGTTACTTTATACTTTTATTTTACTACTATTATGAGAGAACTCTACTCTGGTCTCCAATGTTCACCTCCACTACACTGTAATTCAAATTTCTTGTCTGTCTCCCCACCTAATGAGCAGCTGTGGTGACAGTTTCACCTTTGGGCCCAATGCTTAAATGACATACAAAAAGTAGGCCGGCTAGCTCAGCTGGTTAGAGCATGGTGCTAATCAATGACACACAAAAAATACTTGCTGACTGAACAATCAAAAGTTTAAAAAGTCACAGACTAGATTTCATTTTTTAATGTAACTTTAAAACTAAATTCATTACTGTGAATATTAACTTGATTGAATTCTCATGAATTAAATTTGAATTCTTTACATGACATCTCACCTTTCAAACTTTTAATACTGAATTAAATCACGAGTCACTAATACACTTGATCAAAGCATATAGTCTTCAGAATGGAAGTTTAAAACTACTCCTAACTCATGAATTTACTAATTTTTCTCCCTACCAAAGATAGCAGATTTTACTCAAAATCATACATATGTATGTATGTGTGTATAAATCTACAATTTGTGTAATTTTCCTTTAATAATGTATAGTCGTTGGATTATTGTATTCTTAGAATTGCACATTTACTTATGAAATAATTCTCAAGCTATACTGTTATTCATCTTTAACATTATCACTTATGTCAGATTGTACATATAAATAATATATATTTTCACCTGAAAACTTCAAAACAAAATTTAAGTTTTAAATTCACATACCAAAAAATCTTCGGGCA